CCCCTCCCCAAAAAAGTTTCCTAAAATTTATTTGAAATCTTTAAATTCATCAGAAAACCCAACAGAACTCCAAAAGGACATAGAGAAGTTTACCAAATGAAAAATGGCAAATATGTATGTTAAGCTACTCAGCATTGTCTGTAATTACATAAGTTCATACAACAATAATATCCTGTATTATATCCTTCTGATTTTCTAGTTGCAGATAATGACGTAAAGAAACAGGGTCTGATGAAAGCATAAATGGCTGCCATCCTGTGCAATATTTTTAAAACATTTAATCTTTAAGTATATTAATATTAACACATACATGAGTGCTTATGGTGGCAGTATAAATCAATATTTAGAAACAACATTCCCCTTAACTGGCATTTAGAAAGGTGATACTTTCCTACATTACGTGGTATTTTTCTTTGATGCTGAAAACTATAGCCTTTTTATCCCAAGTGCTTGACTTAATCGTAGAAGTATTTTACAACTGTTTTTTACTTTCTTTATTTTTTGAAACTTATTTTTATTGCAAAGTCAGACAGGAGGAGAAACAGAGAGAAAGATCTTCTATCTGATGATTCACTTTCCAAGTGAGCGCAACGGCTAGAACTGAGCCAATCTGAAGCAGGGAGTATGGAGCCTCCTTCAGGTCTCCCATGTGGGTGCAGGGTCCCAAGCCTTTGGGCTGTCCTTGACTGCTTTCCCAGGCCACAAGCAGGGAGCTGGGGAGGTGGGGCTGCTGAGATTAGAACCAGTATCCATATGGGATCCTCATTCTGAAAATGAGGACTTCAGCTGCTAGGCTACCTTGCTGGGCCCTAAAAGTGTTTTTTGTTTTTAAATTTTTTTTTTTTGTTGTTGGAAAGGCAGATTTACAGAGAGATAAAGATCTATTGGCAGGTGCACTCCCCAACTGGCTGCAATGGTCGGAGCTGAGCCAATCTGAAGCCAGGGGTCCAGAGCCTCTTCTGGGTCCCCCACGCGGGTGCAGGGTCCCAAGGCTTTGAGCCGTCCTCGACTGCTTTCCCAGGCCACAGGCAGGGAGCTGGATGGGAAGTGGGGCAGCAAGGACATGAACCAGGTTTCTGGCGCTTGCAGAGGGGAGGATCAGCCATTGAGCCATCGTGCCAGGCCCAGAAATCTGTATTTTTATGTCTTTTTAAGAGTTTTCTCTGATTCCATGTATCACTATTTTTACTTCATAGTTCTTTAAATCAACTTGCTCTTTTTAAAAAGTGGTGTATTACTTAGCTTTTCACTGAAATCCCTGGGTGGAACAACTTAGGGGGGAAGGTGGTTTATTTCAGGTTGTAGTTTGGAGGTTCATACTCCGAGACGGGGCTGCTCCACTGCTTTAGCCGTCTGGTGAGGCCAGCTGGCAGAGGACCCATCACAAGGTGAGCAGGAGCTGCGTGCGTGTAATTTTCATCACATTTCTACTGAGATGAATTCACTCAGCTCACCTCTTTCCATGAGAAAACAATGAGAGACCATCCAGGTAAGACTGATTCATTTTCTTATTAAATAAACTTTCATAACTTGTGATAACAAAAATTCCTTTTTAAAACTTTTTAAGTAATCACTCCTCTTAGATAAAATTAACAGGTAATCCTCCTGTTTTGCAATGTGAGAAAACTGCTTCTTCTTGGAAAATCTCCTTTTACACTTTTATTTGGGATTCTAGTAGTTAGCAGTTTAACTCCAAGATTACTGAAGAGATTAAAATTCCTACGGAAACTTGGTGATCAGGTCTTCAATATAAAAAAGCTTCAATCAGAAAATTATTTTTTAGATTCCTTATATGAAGATTCCAAACACTGTGATAGGTTAAACCCTTACCATCTAAATTTACAACATTGAACATACAATTCACAAACACATGAAAATTACATGTGACAGTGTTCAGCTTTTGGAATTTATATTTTAAGCCATAGACAGGTACATCTTTTTCTCAGCGTTAAGTACTGTCTTTAAAGTTTAATTTATGCAAAGTTGAAGTATATTAATTCATAAATTCAGTGCCATGAATACATTTTTTTTCATGACTCCTCCTAGCTGCTCTGCCTCCAGTGTAGCTCTCTCCCTAACATGAAAGCAGCAGGAAGTTGGCCCAAGTGCTGGGCCCCTACCACCCACACGATTCTAGTGCCAGCCTTGCCACTTAGGGCGTAATCCAGGAGATTGAAGATCTTCGCCTTTCTCTCTAACACTGCCTTTCAATTAAATAAATCTCACTTTTTTTCTTTTGATAAATCAATCTCTTTCCCAAGAGGATTTGGCTACTTCATTTCAAAGAGCTCTGTCTCTCCTTTTCACTCTGTAACTGTTTCAAAACAAATCCTTTTAAAAAGAATATTTAATTTGAAAGGCAGATTACAGAAACAGAATATGGAGAGAATCTTCCATCTGCTGGTTCACTGCCCAAATGGCTGCAAAGGCTGGAGCTGGGTCAGTCTGAGGGCAGGAGCCAGGACTTCGTTCAGGGTCTCTCCCATGGGTGCAGGTGCTCAAGCACTTGGGCCGTCTTCTCTTGCTTTCTTCAGCCCATCAGTGGGAAGCTGGGTTGGAAGTGGAGCAGCCAGGACGTATGGGATGCCCAGGTGGAGGCCAGCCCTCTAAAGATTTGTATCTTTATGGACAATAGGGGATGTTTTAGAATTTGAACTAATAATTCATTGCAAGGGGGAGATGAAAAAAGGCAAGAAAAACTACGAGGACCATCAGTAAAAGTCACTGTTAGCAAGACTTCTATTGTAGTGTTGTATCAACTCAGGTAACCTCAGAGTGGAACTGTGACTCGAATCCCAAAAGAATGCAGTGGAAACGTGTCTCTGAGGAGACACAGAAACCCAGAAGTATTTTAAAAGTTTTAGGAAGGTCTTTTTTTTTTTTTTTGAGGAAGGTCTGTTTTTTAACTGAAGCTCATTAAGCTAAAATTACACACAAACTACTTCCGTGAGTGATGGCCAACAGATTTATCTGAAGAGTCATTGCAAAAATTCTTATGAGACAGATTGTCAGCGTGATATGGCTATACACTGCAGATTCTTCAAGAAACACATAATTACATGGTTCTAAAATTTCTGACTTACATCTCATTAAGTAGTTTCAGTACAATATGGATTTGATTATGAACACCTGATGAAACATAAGGCAGTAAAATACAGATTTTTAAAAAATCATTTAACAAGTTTCCTAAAAATAAATGCCTGAAGTTGGGTGTACATAAGTAAATAGAAATAATAGAGTTATCAAGAAATCAAGTAAATGGCTAGGTGAGAGTCATGCAAAACATTCAAGAGGGCCCGGTGCCGTGGCCTAGCGGCCAAAGTCCTCACCTTGAATGGGAACGGGATCCTATATGGGCGCTGGTTCTAATCTAGGCGGCCCCGTTTCCCATCCAGCTCCCTGCTTGTGGCCTGGGAAAGCAGTCGAGGATGGATCAAAGCCTTGGGACCCTGCACCCGTGTGGCAGGCCTGGAAGAAACTCTGGGCTCCTGGCTTTGGATCGGCACAGCACTGGCCGTGGTGGTCACTTGGGGAGTGAATCTTCGGACAGGAGCTCTTTCACTCTGTCTCTCCTCTTCTATGTATATCTGACTTTGCAATAGAAATAAACCTTGAAAAAAGAACAAAGGTTAAAATCATGTTGTAACGGGAACATTGGGCTGTAATCCAAATGACCTGCATTCTACTACTGTGTCATGTAACTGGTTAAATGTCCTTGGCCTTAGGACAACCCAATTTTCTATTTTTACTTAAAATTTAAACTCAAGATTTTCAAGTTTTTATGAAACATTTGTGTATGATGGCCCTACCAGAAATGTTAAAATCAGATAGAGTGAGCGTCTAGGACAAGCATACACATAAGACAGAGATAGAAACGAGGAATTCGGAGAATCCCAGCTGCAACAGATGTCATACGCAACACCCATGGTTCCCCGAGGGGGAAACCACTGGTTGAAAATTGTTGTTTTCAACTATACAGAATAACTGGACAATATTTTTAGCAGCGATGTTTGTGACATTCAAGGGCAATGATATAAATAACTGTGTTCCTGATACTGCTATTTCAGAAGCTGTGACTGAACTGCAGTTGAACTGTTTACTCAAATTGATGTGCCAAAGCCCTATGCCTTAGCATGAGACCCTATTTGGACATAGGACCATTGCAGTTAAGATGAGGCCTTTAGGACGCACCTCAATCCAGCGACTTCTTCCCACAGCCCCCAGAAGACAGCAAATCTACCAGTATCTTGACTTGAACTTCTGGCCTCTAGAACTGTAAGATCATAAACAGATAATTGCTATGTAAACAACTCAGTTTGCACAAATGTTTGATAGCCACAGGAAACTAATATAGATGCTAACGTTAATTTAACATTATCAAAAATAATTTGTACATCATGGTAGTAACTCAATACTCAGATTTAACTGTGTATTAATATTCTGTGGAATTTCATGTTGGAAGTTTGGGTATGACTTTACAGCTTTACAACTGAAAATAGAATGGAAAAACACTGTGACTTTGAAATGGTCACATTTTTCTTGTCTAAATTCTTACCAGCTCCCCTCCAACCCTATCATAAATTATCCAACACATAGATATGGCCTTGAAGAAAAAAAAACAAAGATGAAGATTACCATGACAACCACCTTTTCTTAGGCAGAACGAGTCTGCTAGTGATGTGAGAAGAAGCGGAGCCCGCTGATTGCTTAGGAGAGGACTGCTGGCAGGAAGGGAGCATCAGTACCTGGATCGTATACTGTGTTACACTGTATTTCTACAGCGCAGTAATCCAACGATTTCATACACAAAAAACTGATCTCCTCATGAGTTTTTAAAAACAGTGAATAGCACCTATTGTTAAGGAAGGACAACTGTAGTTAAGTTTCTTTCATATCTGTTTTTCCCTAGTTCATTAAATCAGAGCACACGCAAGAAACTGGATGAGTATTATCAAGAGTGGTTAAAATCATCAACTACCACGCAATTGAAAATGCCATACTTAAGGTACAATCATATACTGGACATTTAATGTAGCAATGCCCAAAAAACAGGGCAATTAAAAACTCATTTGTTTTAAACTTATTTGTTAAAGGCAAATCTCATTATCATGTTTAAAATCATCCATTTTAACATCTCCAAAGTTGAATTTATTATTTTACAAAAACGTTATGTAAATCAAAATAAGAACTAGGTTGTCTCATGAACGGCAAGGTGACTAATTAACTCCCTTTCATTTGCAAACCTCATCAAGCAGTCACTGCATTTATGAGGCAAGTCAGCAGAATGCTTGAAGTCTAGATGAATTTTAAGATCTTCAATCTGTCCTGTTGAATATTCACAATATTGACATAGATAAATCCCTTCGGACAAATGCGAATTTAGATGCTTGCAATATTCTAGCATACTTGAAAAACCTTTGCCACAGTCATCACAAACATGGGGAAATATTTTAGTATGTTCAATAGCGACATGCCTGTTAACATTTGTGTGAAGTCTACTCCGAAAGCCACATACTTGACACACAAAGAAGTTTTTACATTTGTCAAAGGTAATTTTGCTTAAGAGGCTGTACTGTCCGTGTTGTGCACTGTTGTACTTGTCACTCAACTCTATCAGCTTACAGGCATGTTCATTCACCACATGGCTGTGCAGGTCCTCGGGATCATTCGTTTCATGTTCACAGAACTGACATAAATACTGCTCGTCACAGCTGTGCTCTTGGAAGTGCAGGTAGAGCTCACTGCTGGAGGAGAACTGAACATCACACTGCTCGCACCAGTAGAGGTGATCACTGAAATGGGTGTCTGCAATATGTTGGCTGAGGTTTTCAAAAATCACTGTCTTATAATCACAGTATTTACAGATGTAGGGGTCCTCTTCGTGGAGTTTCGCATGTTCAATCAGAAGCATGTTGCTAGAGAAACTTTCTTTGCATACCCGACACACATTTGAATCCGTACGTTTATGTTTCAGGATCATATGCTGCTTTAAATCGGAAAAATACTTGCTGTTGAACTCACAGAGCTCACATTTATAGAGGCCACTGCTGTTAGCTCTTAGTAAAGGCCATTTTTGCTGAGCAGGCACATTCAAAGCTGGGCTCTTGTCAAGAATCTTACAAAGCTTGGCTGGTGGCTCCTCATCGGTTTGGTCTTGGAGGCTCTCGGAGGAATTGTTTTCGGTGTCTATATCGTAATCCTCAGAAATTGCATGGACTTCCACAGCAATCGGGACATCTTCAGCCGTGTGCACTTCTATAGGACTCTCTTCCTGAGGCTGCTGGCTAACCGATTCAGGCGAGTCACATTCTTCATCGCAAATCTCAACGTCAGCAGATTTCTCTGAGAAACAAGAGCAAGCCCATTATTATATTGCTAATACTAAGGAAGGCCCACTGGCTAAACACAATAAGCAGGGTTTTGTTCATTTACTGACATAGCGAGGCTGATACTCTTGCTGACCTGTAGGGAAGCCAGTGTGGTCTAGAATTCTAAGTACAGGGCTGGGAACCAGGCAGTTTTGATTTCTGCTTCTGGCCTTGATTCCATCTGTAAATTTTGGCAATTCATTTGATGTCTCCGTATCAGAATCATCATCTGTAAAAAGGGATTTTGAAAAACACTCCTATTAAATGAAGTATTAGTTATTATAAGTTTGAATTACCCTAGGAACAAAGGACTAAGATTTAGCCATGAACATAGACATTAGCTATAAACGCAGAAAATCGGCCCAAATAACCAACTGGGTTTGCTTTTGTGCTCAAAAGGACTAAAATATTCTTTCTGAAGTTCCCTAGGAATGTGAAGTTTATCAGTTACTGCGTTTGGGTGGATACTGTGTTACAGCAGGTTTTCCACTACTTGGGATACAAGCATCCTCTAACAGTGGCAGTTTATGTTCTGGGTGCTCCACTTCCGATCCAGCGTTCTGTTAACGCATGCCGGGAGAGAGCCTCTGCCACCTACACTGGATCCAGTCCAGTTGTGCCTTCAGCCAGCCCAGTCTGAACGGCTGCAGCCATTTGGGTAGTGAAGCAGGACACAAAATCTTTAAGTCAACACTATAATGTCCAATACTAACACATCATTGTTATTAAGCCCATACTTGGGGTCTCCATTGTCCCTACTCCACTTCTGAGAAGGAAATCTTTATGTTCAGGAGAGTTATGTTCCACCTCGGAGTATCCATGTAAACAATTTGGAATTATTCTTTAAGTAAATATACCTCTCCCCTCTTGTCTATTATTCTACTGTTATATTAGAAGGAATTTATCTTAGATTTTTTTTTTCTTCACCTTATTCCAGCCTCAGTTATTGGGAGCTCCTTCAGTTAGGTTGTGGGTTCCTCCAACATAACAAGTTTGTGGGTGTGTGTGTAAAATCCCTACCTCCCACACTGTAAGACTGCCCTGTATTTCTGCCCCAGATCTACAATCAGTTCTTTCCTTGAGGAGCTACAGTTCATTGTAAGTAAGAACTGTATTAGAAACCAAGATCTGGGCACAAAATGTGCTCACTGCTACTAGTATGTTTCTTTCTTTTAGGCTCTTACCTAACAGAGAAAAAATGTGTGTGTGTGTGTGTGTGTGTGTGTGTGTGTGTGTGTGTGTGTGTGTGTACAACACCTTCCATAAGCTAAACATGAGTCCATCCCAAGGACTCTGACCCTCTGTTTGTCATGTTTCCTTATGCTCTGTGCTTCTAAGAGGATCGAGGGGACAGGAAGTGTCAGTGATTGCAGAGGAAGACAGGAGCTCAACACTAGCTTTCATTCATCTAGTGCTTGAAGAGGCATCAGCGGGAGGTGCCACTCTGTCACTCCTGCTGGCCGAGAGGAACAGCCATGCTTTCACACCTTCCTGCTCCTGTCGCCACAAAGGCCCCCTAGGCTGCAGCACTCCCGCTGGGCCAGCGAGTCTGACGCAACTAACGTATATGTAGGAGGAGAGTGTACTTCAAAATGTATTTATCTGAAATAATGTTAAAAATTAAAATGATTTCATATAACATATATAAACAGTTGTCCATTTTGAAATCATCAGTCACATTTCAACCATAGATTCACACAGGGGGGAAATACAAAATATTTGAAGAAAAATATTTTTGAGAATGTTAAATATACCTTTGTTGTCAAAACACTTCAAGTCTGGCTGTCTCATAGAACAGACACTGTAACAATGATCAGAAAAAATCCCATTGAATCCATCTGCAATTCGGCTTATTCCAGAGGAATCTGAGCATAAACCAACATGAAAAGAAAAAGATTCAAGTACAATAAACATATTCACAATCAGTAAGTTATCCCTTTATCTAACATACACAAATTTTCAAAGGACCACTCACACTTTGAGAGGCTGGCGCAATGGCTCAACTGGCTAATCCTCCACCTCTAAGCACTGGCATCCCAGATGGACACTGGCTCATGTATTGCTAGCTCCATTTCCCATCTATCTCCCTGCCTGTGGCCTGGAAAAGTAGTGCAGGATGGCTCCAACCCTTGGGACCCTGCACCCAAGCGGGAGACCCGGAAGAAGCTCCTGGCTCCTGGTTTTGGATTGGCTTAGCTCTGGTCATTGCGGCCATTTGTGGAGTGAACCGTGGATGGAAACTTTTTCTCTGTCTCTCTTTTCTCTGTAAATCTGCCTTTTTAATAAAAAGAGATTTTTAAAAAAATTAACTTAAAATATACAAGGATACACTTATCTTGTAATCAGGATCTCACAAAATCTGTGATAAACTCTGTGTTAACTGCACACCATGGTGAGTTACCAGAAGACAAGCCCTAAGTGTGGGGAAAGCGTAATGCACAGGATTCAAGTCCAACTAGTCATGTTCAATCTTGCCTAGGAAGGATCAGAAAGCAGTGGACCAGATTTCTATCCTTAGATAGAAATACCGCGTAGGTTGGGGGACTAACACGTGTGCCGCAGACTGTCCAAATATGTGTACACAAGCGGTATTACAGATGATCAACAAAGCACTTCTCTCATAGTGCCAAGACAGCAGAGCCGATCTCAATCACACAAAGCAAATAACAGAAAATAACAAAATAACTGAAAATAACAGAAAATAACAAAGTCTCATCTGCCCCCTTCCCCAATGATGCAAACTACCTTCCACTTAGGTATCTTGAGCACAGCCTTTGACTCTGTCTGCATAAAAAAGGAACCTTGGAGGTGGGCATTTGCATTAGTGCTTAGGAAGCTGGTTCAGATGCCTGCTTCTTGTCATGGTGTGCTGAGTCCCAGTTCTCCCTCTGCTTGAGGCTAGCTTCCTGCTGCTATAGACTCTGGGAAGCAACAAGTTCCGGTAGCTGAGTCCCTGCGACCTGTGTGGGAGACCCAGACTGAGTTCCTAGCTCGCAGCTCCTGTCCGGCTCATTCTGGCCATTGCACATATTTGGGGAGTAAACTAGCAAAGGAGCTTGCTCTATCTCCAGCTCCCTCTAGGACTCAAAACTAAACATCTCAAAATGAAACATGTTTATCATTTTCACAAAAAGAAAATAACCTTGACTATCTAACTTCAAACACTGATAAACCACAACGTTGTAAGGGTTATGTAAAATAACGTCTGAAGGAGGATGTTTGGTACCTGAGTTAAGATACCACACAGGACACTCACACCGCAAATCACAGTGCTTGGGTTCAAGTTCCAGCTGCTTGCTAATGCACATGCTGCGAGGCAGCGGTGATGGCTCAAGGACATGGGTCCTTGCTATCCAGACAGGAGATACAGTGAGTCCCCACCTTCCAGCTCTGGACTTGCCGACCCCCAGCTGCTTTGGGCGCTGAAGTTATGAATCAGGAAACAAAAGGCCTCTTTCCTGCTGACTATCTCTTAGAACTTTTTTTTTCATTTTAAAATAAAATAGTGTCTGTAAATTTTTTAAGGTGTTCTCTAGCCTAAAGAGTGAGCCAGACATTAAGTCTTATTTGATCATCCAATTCATGAGAAAGTAGATGGATTCCACAACTCCAAAATAAGTCAGTTATATACTAACCTGAATAACGAGACGGGTGTAAAGTCTTCCTTTTTCTTTTTTTAGGATATTCATTCATATCTTTTCAATCTAAAAAAAAAAGAGTCATAAACAGCAACTGTTACAAGTTATATAAAAATCATTTCTGGGCCCAGCGTGATGGCCTAACGGCTAAAGTCCTCGCCTTGAACGCGCCAGGATCCCATATAGGTGCTGATTCTAATCCCAGCAGCTCCACCTCCCATCCAGCTCCCTGCTTGTGGCCTGGGAAAGCAGTCAAGGACAGCCCAAAGCCTTGGGACCCTGCACCTGCGTGGGAGACCCATAAGAACTCCTGGCTCCCTGCTTCAGATTGGCGTAGCACTGTCCATTGTGGTCATTTGGGGAGTGAATCATCGGATGGAAGATCTTCCTCTCTGTCTCTTCTCTTCTCTATATATCTGACTTTCCAATCAAAACAAATCTTTAAAAAAATCATTTCTAACCAAAGAATTTATTTGCAACAGGAAATCTGTCATATGACAATCTATTCTATGAGCCCTGTGCAATAGCCTCGTGGCAAAATCCTTGCCTTGCATACTCTGGGATCCCATCTGGGTGCCGGTTAGTGTCCTGGCTGCTTTACTTCCCATCCAGCTCCCTGCTTGTGGCCTGGGAAAGCAGTGGAAGATGGCTCAAAGCCTTGGGACCCTGCACCCGCATGGGAGATTCGGAAGAAGTTCCTGGTTCCCAACTTTGAATCAGCAACTCTGGCTGTGGTGGCCACTTGCAGAGTGGACCAGTGAACGTAAGACCTTTCTCTTTGTCTCTCCTTCTTTCTGTAAACCTGCTTTTCCAATCAAAATAAATATTAAAAAAAAAAAAGACTTTATGAGAGTAATGTCAAACGAAGCCTCTGTCAATATTTTGAATTATTTTCCCAGTCAAATTTAAAGACAGAACAGTGATTATTCTTTAATAAGATTGAGAAACTCTTTGCCCTTTATTTTTGATACACTCCAAAAATACTTTTCATTTGGAAAAACATGAATGGTAGAGGCCTGGGGCTGTCATTGTGAGGAAATACTGCAACCTGCCATGGGCCCTGGGAAAGACCAGCAAGGCCGGACTCCCCTGCTGTGCCTGGGCTTCAAAGGCTGACAGAATCAAGAGAGCCAGGAAATTCCTAAGGACAATAAACTTCATACTTAAATTATTTTTTAAGGATTTATTTATTTTTATTGGAAAGGCAGGTAAGATTTATGGAGAGACAGAGAGAAAAATCTTTTTTTTAAAAAAAGATTTATTTTTATTGCAAAGTCAGATATATAAAGAGAGGAGAAGAGACAGAGAGAAATATCTTCCGTTCAATGATTCACTTTCCAAGTGACCACAATGGCTGGAGCTGTGCTGATCTGAAGTCAGGAGCCAGGAGTTTTTTGGGTCTCCCACACGAGTGCAGGGTCCCAAGACTTTGGGCCATCCTCGACTGCTTTCCCAGGCCACAAGCAGGGATGGGAAGCAGGGCTTCCAGGATTAGAACCGGCGCAAATATGGGATCCTGGTGCGTTCAAGGTGAGGACTTTACCCACTAGGCCACCACGCCCGGCCCTTCATGTGCCTATGCCATGATATTAATATGAATTATATAGGGACTGACTTACAGTATAGCAGGTTGAGCTGTCTGAGACGAGTGTCCCAGCTGTTTTAATTCTTTTTTTTTTAAAGATTTATTTTCAATTAATTAATTAATTGATTTATTGGAAAGTCACATATACAGAGAGGAGGAGAGACAGAGAGGAAAGATCTTCCATTTGTTGATTCACTCCCCAAACAGCCACAATGGCCAGAGCTGCGCCAAACTGAAGTCAAGAGCCTCCACCAGGTCTCCCACATGGGTGCAGAGTCCCAAGGCTTTGGTCTGTTCTCCACTGCTTTCCCAGGACACAAGCAAGGAGCTGGATGGGAAGTGGGGTCGCTGGGATAAGAACAGGTGCCCATATGGGATCCTGGTGCATGCAAGGCGAGGACTTTAGCTGCTAGGCTACCACACCTGGCCTAGTTGTTCTAATTCTAATGCAGTTCTCCAAAGTGCCTTGGAAAGCAGCAGAAGATAGCCCAGGTGCTTGCAGCCACCCACATGGGAGACGTGGATGGAGTTTTTCCATCTCTTGGCTTATAGCTATCTGGGGAGTAATGGGCGCTGGTTCTAATCCTGGCAGCTCCACTTCTCATCCAGCTCCCTGCTTGTGGCCTGGGAAAGCAGTCGAGGATGGCCCAAAGCCTTGGGAATCTGCACTGGAGGAAGCTCTTGGCTCCTGGTTCCGGATTGGTGCAGCTCTGGCATTTGTAGTCACTTGGGGAGTGAATCATTGGATGGAAGATCTTCCTCTCTGTCTTCTCTCCTCCTCTCTGTATATCTGAGTTTCCAGTAAAAATAAATAAATCTTAAAAAGAAGAAGAAAAGTAGAAAAAATACAGAGCATCTCAAAATCTAAGTAATTTAAGAAAACGAAATCATTTTTACATGTTCACATTCAGTATTCTACTAAGAACAGAACAGGTATGGTAACCATGTATGATTAAAAGTTATGATCTATACAAATTTAACTTCACTACATTTTACTTACTTGGTATAATTCTTTAATTTTGCAGTGAGAAAAAAAATAAAATGAATCACAGGGAAGTTTCCTCAGATGGTAAAAGATGCCTGTAAATAAAGCATACAGAAGTCACATAAACATACTGTGCCTTTTCTCCAAGATTCAATGACATGCCCATCCCACTGCAAAGTTACAGAATGGGAATTCGGGCTTACTGTTCTCTTCAATATTTTGTACTGACTACCAAAAGTTGTACACATTCGTAACTGTGTGATTGCATTCATACTTTTCTAATTTTTTTTTTAAATTAAATTCACCTTCTAAAGTTAAATCTTGACACCAGAACTGGAATATAAAAATCTGCATAGTTTATTCTGATATAAGAATGGAAAGGTACCAGAGAGCCGACATTAAGACTCAGACTTCACACTTAAGGTTCTCAGAGATTTAGTAATAACACCTGTTATCTACCAGGCCTAAACATGTTTTATGTCATTTAATGCTATAGTATCAAAATTAGTTCCTGAAATTAGTTCATCGTTATTACTGATAAAGAAACTGAGGCATGGTAAGGTCAAGTCAAAGTTGGATACTCAACTTTGAGTGGGGAATTAAGCAAAGTCTAACTTATTTTAAAGTGCAGGCTTGCAATCCCTTTCAGCCTAGCTTGGAATGCAAGTGGGGAGATGAAATGATCAGCTCAATTCCAGCACAGGCTAACGGTCAGATTCAGCAGGACCTCTTCCACCTCAGAGGGCGTTTTTCCCACTGCATCACCAGGCACATAACAACGGGAGCAACAAGCCGCACATGGGGCTTCTCTCACCGCCAAGCACCGCAGACAGAGCTAGAACGTCCACACCTCATTTCTAGGAGTAAAGCACTTGACGTATAGGCGCCTGTGACGTGATCATATGGCAGTAAGACTGTTTCTGTTAAGCAATCACAACATTCCATGGGGGATACAAAGGCACCACCAAACCCACCTCATGTTTACTGATGAGGAAACAGGCTCAGTGAAAGCCAAGTCAGGGGGTGGCAGGCCCAGAGATGGAGATCGTGTCCTGAGTCGCGGGCACGGAACATGCGTGAATCTTCTCTGCTAAGCACCACTACCAGCAAGCTACATTCTGCTTCCAGTGCTCACGTCGTCACAAACTGGTGAGGGAATCACCTGAGGAAACTGACAACCATGAAATTCACAGAGATGTTATGAGATGCAAAATAAATGCCTTACCTGCTAACATAAATAGCATTCTTGTAGTAACCACTTCAACCTTGCATTAAAAAGAAATAATAAATGAGAAGCTGTTGTGATCTTATGTAAAATTCTAAGACTCTTAATAATTCATTGTATCCTTCCAGAATTTCTAAGAACAGCCAAAAAACTTTACACCTCATATTCAAACGATATTAGAAGTATGAAGAAGTAGTCAGCACATAGTGAGGTAAGTCAGTGCCTTCAGGACTGCTGTCCCACGGTGGTGCCAGTTGGGGTCCCAGCTGCTCCACTTCCAATCCAGCTCCTCTGCTAATGAGACGGGAAAGCAAGGGGAAAAGGACCAAGACCCTGGGCCCCTGTCATCATGTGGGAGACCAGGGAAAAACTCCTGTCCCAGCCTTGGTGGTTGTGGCCACGTGCGGAGCAAGCCACAGGATATGAAGATTTCTCTGTCTCCTCAAACTCTGTGTATCAAATAAATAAATTAATTAATTAAAAACAAGAAAACAGAACAAGCATTGTGGAAAGCCAGTAAGTGCAGTGCCAGCAATCCTTCGCGAGTGGGGTCCAGACCCAGCTGCTCCACTTCCAATCCGGCGCTCTGCTCATATACCTGGGAAGCAGTGAGAGACGGTCCAAGTACTCGGGCCCCTGTCAGCAATTCCAGGCTCCTGTCTGCAGCTTGGCCCAGTCCTAGCTGTTCAAGCCATTTGGGAAGTAGACTGCCAGATGGAAGATCTCTGTCTCTCACTCTAATTCTCCTTTCAAATAACAAACCAGTCTTACATAAACAATTAAATTAAGTGAAGAACCTGCATGAAAAAGAAAAGGAAAGTAGGCATGGTAATAAAATGAACATTGCAAGTCAGCCAGGATTCAAACTGTCAAGTGACAGGTGGGAACACTGATGAGAAGGGGTTCAGCTCATTGAGAGGATGCTCATTCATCTCCCTCCAGCACAGTGCTAAGATGCAGCTTCCAGGCCAAAACTGCTGGGCCTGGCGTGATAGCATAGTGGTTAAAGAGCTCCTGGTTCCCGGCTTCGGATTGGCTCAGCTCCAGCCGTTGCGGCCACTTGGGGGTGAACCAACAGATGGAATATTTTCCTCTCTGTCTCTCCTCCTCTCTGTATATCCGCCTTTCCAGTAAAACAAATAAATAAATCTAAAAAAAAAAAAAAGATAAAAATTGCTAACCACTTTTCACCTTTTTTACGTGTCTTTCTATGCATAATCACCTTGAAGAAGAAGCTTGGCATTTTACTCTTACACACTAAACAGAACATTCTACTGCAGGAAAATTAGAAGATTAAAAAGTGCCCGAGGGCCCGGCGCGGTGGCGCAAGTGGTTAAAGGTCCTCGCCTTGCACGCAGGGATCCCATATGGGCGCTGGTTCTAATCCCGGCAGCCCCGCTTCCCTTCCAGCTCCCTGCCTGTGGCCTGGGAAAGCAGTCGAGGACGACCCAAAGCTTTGGGAACCTGCACCCGCGTGGGAGACCCGGAAGAGGCTCCTGGCTTCGGATCGGCATAGTATCGGGCCGTTGCGGCTCACTTGGGGAGTGAATCATCGGATGGAAGATCTTCCTCTCTGTCTCTCCTCCTTGCTGTATATCTGCCTTTCCAATGAAAAAATAATAAAAATAAATCTTAAAAAAAAAAAGTGCCCAAAATGGAAATCATAGTATTTTGTTGTATATTATCTAGGCTTTTTTCTGTGCTAAGTTAACTGGCATCATGCCATACAAAACTTTTTATATAATATATATGTATATATATATGTAAAAAAAACCCAACAAAATAATAGATATACATCAGCTTTTCCTCATCTGTCATTTTTATTTAAGGTTTCACATATTTGCTACTGAGCCAACCACTAGTCATGGCCCCAAACACACACGTTCAACTGTCCGGGTATTTTTCTTTCTTCTAAACCGAAAATACCTATATTCAAAACACAACACACATGACAGTTGGAGTATATTAAATCGCTGAGTTTTTATAGGTTTTTCAGGCAACGTGGTCTTTCTTCCTAAATTGCATAATAAGTCGTTACTACAAAAAGCTACATTCTAAAGGAGTTTTAACAAGGCCAAATTTTTCTTTTCAGCCTCATAAAAACATGCACTTTCCAGGTTTTAAAAAGAAATGCAACACGCATGCACAGACATGTTGCATGAGGGCTCGAACTCGAGGCAATGTTCACTCAACTATGTGATCAAAGACTCAAAAGCAGTTACTTTTCAGGCTGGCACAAATTTTTATCTTTGCAGAGATACACTGTTTCAACTAGGGTCCCTAGGCCCTAATACTTAAAAGCAAAAGCAAATTCGGCTTAAAAAGCTACCGCCAGGAGCGTCTGGGTGGCAGGGCCGGCGGAGGGCAGCGGGAGAGCCACAGAGCCAGCGGGCCGGGTAGCCAGCGTGGCACCCAAGGTTGGCCGAAGCCCAGAGGCCCAGACACTGCTGCCCTCCGACCAGCAGGCAAAGAGCCACCCCGTCCAGTCGCCTCCAACCCGGGGCCACGCACCTGTCCCGCCCGGGGCCGACGACCGGTGTCGCGCGCTGAGAAGGCTCCTAGGATCTGAGCCCAGAGCGGACTCTAAGGAGAACAGCAGCAAGGCGCCGCCGCGAGTTCGGGGTCCGGGCGTCTTGCAGTGGGCCTGCAACTGCCTTGGAGTGGGTGGGGTGGGGAGGGGAAGCCCTCTCTCCAGAAACGAAGCCAGGATTTCAGTTTCCAACAAGCATCCGGCCTTTGCTGTCGTCCTCCATCGGGCAGACACGCCCGCACGCCCCGGCTCCCCTGCAGCGCTCGGGCGCCGGGTCCGCCCGCTCCTCCCTTACACTCACCAGTGCCTGCGGGCCCGCCGGGCCGGTCCAGGCGCAGCTCCGAGGGGGCGGGCGGCGGGTCCGGGGCCCTCGAGCCGCAGAGGGCTCGGCCTGGCCAGCCCCTCGACCTCCAGCGCACCCTCGGCCCGGTCCGCAGGCCCCAGCTCCGCCGCCGCACTCGCGGGCCCGTTCCGCGCCTGCGCGCCGCGCACCTCAGGGGGCCGCCGAACCGAAGGGCGGGGAGGGGACGGGGCGAGGTGGGGGCAGGGGAGCGGACCGTGCGGCCACCGGGCACCCGCGGCTCGGGAAGGACCACCGGCCCGCAGCCCCGGGGGTGGCCCGGAGCCCCGCGCCCCCCGCCGGCCTCGCTGCGCCGCCCAGGGCCGCTGCAGGCCGCGGGGAGGCCCCGGTGACGCGCCCCGGGTGATTCCAGTCCCCGCGATGGCCGCCGGCCCGCCCCGCGGCGAACCGGTTCCACCCTTCCCCGGCGTTCCCTCCCGTTCTGGAAGAAAGTGGAAGAGGCCCCTTCCCCACCCTGCAGCTCCGGGGGACTCGCGACAATGGCCTTGTCGGGATTACGCCGCGCAGATGGCGTTTCATTCCCTAAAATACGCGGGGAACCTGCTGACGACAGAAAGGAACCGTGTCCTGATCTCTGAGCCCAACCTGGGTTATGAGGCGTGAGAGTGGCCCTCGTTGAAGATCGTTGATTAAAGTGTTAGATTCCTTAGGTCGAAAAATCTTGGCGGAATGGACGTCAACTTTCCACGGCATTGGCTTCAATTATTTAATTTTTTTTAATCTTGAGTTTCTATGAACAGATGTACAAAACATGCATCCCCAGTCGGGTCTCAAAGTAATAATCATAAATAAATAAGCAGCGATAACTTTGTGAAAATTGTTTCAAAAATACGTGAGCATTGTTTCAAAAACAACCATTCTCAAAGTGTGATACTGTTTAAACTTTCTTGCAACCAGTTGGTGTTGTTAGTTTCAATTTACAAATTAGAAAAAGTAATCTCGTCAGAGGGGGAAGACTGGGGTTTTACTCAGTTTTGGCACGTGAGCATCTGGGTTCAACTCTTTAGCAGGGTCCCCTGGACGCTTGGCTGTGCTGTTCCTAGCAAGCACATGCTAGCCAGCCAGTCAGTAATCGCAGGGCGTGGGTGAGTCCCTTCTCTATGTCCCAGGAGATGAAAGAGGGGTTTCGGGCTTCATTGGCACATATTTTTCAGCATAGCTGGAATAAAGTAAGAAGAGGTTTAGAAAAGCCCTTAATCCTAGTTTGGGTAGTACTTTGCCCAGATTAGGGACTGAACACAAGTTGATGACAGAACACGAGGTGTGTGCTATCCTTTCCACTCCTGCTTGGGTGTTCTTCCTATCTGACTGGTTGCCACAAGGGGGTGTGCCGAGTTCACCTTTAGCTAATGGCTTGCTTAGTACAGCCTTCTGTGAAACAACCTTTACATTGTAGGATGAAGTTTCATTTACAAGTATTTTGTGGTAAGAGCACCCCTACTTCTACAAGTGTAATATCTTCAAAAATTAAAAAAAAAACCCTCCACTTATCACTTACAATAGCAGATACCCTTTAATGTGGTAACAAATTGAGTGTAAAGGTCTTGGATTAGCTGCAGTATGTCTTCCAGTTTTATTTCTGAGGCTGTCTTTTCCTCTCCTCCTCCAATGCAAGGGAAAAAAAATTAAAAATAAAAACCAAAAGACAAAAGTGCTGAAATGTCAAAAGAGTACTAAGTGGTAGGCCCGGCGTAATAGTCCTCCCCTTGCATGCCCAGGATCCCATATGGGCGCCGGTTCTAATCCCGACAGCCATGCTTCCCATCCAGCTCCCTGCCTGTGGCCCGGGGAAGCAGTGGAAAGCCTTGGGACCCTGCACCGGCGCGGGAGACCTGGAAGAGCTCCTGGCTCCTTGTTTTGGATTGGCTCAGCTCCAGCTGTTGCGGCTGCTTAGGGAGTGAACCATTGGATGGAATATCTCCCTCTCTATCTCTCCTCTTCTCTGTATATCTGACTTTCCAATAAAAATAAATAAATCTTAAAAAAAAAGAATACTAAGTGGCACAAGCATTGTCATTTTATTGCATTTCACTTTGGGGATACTACAGCTTATACACGTGATGGTTTGTGGCAACCCTGAGCCCGCATTATCCCAAGGAAGGAAACTCACTCTTTAGGTCTGTGGTAGGGACTGTCTGTTAATGAAATGCAATTTTGCAAAGCTCTGTACTTCAGACATACTTATACTTGCTTGAAGCTAGAGGTAGTCAGATGCTTCGTTTCATTGAAATGTCAGCAGAAGTGTTATGTGTCCCTTGTCGGTGGAAACATGTCATTTGTATTATTCAGTTCCTTCGTGCTCTCTGCTAAAGTTATCTGAACTATAGCAGATCCTTTGGAAACATGAAACAAAGTTTGGTGTGTTTACACGCTAAGCTTTGGGGGTTGTTTGTTATTACAGATTCATCTGGAGTAGTTTATTAACTTTTTCAATAAATAAATCATATTTCTAAAATATTTATTTGTTTTTATTGGGAAATCATATTTACAGAGAGAAGGAGAGACAGAGAGAAAGATCTTCCATCTGCTGGTTCACTCCCCCAGTGGCCACAACTGCCAGAGCTGAGTTAACCCAAAACCAGGTACCAGGAACCTCCTCCAGGTCTCTCAAGCAGGTGCAAGGTCCCAAGGCTTGGGGCCATCCTTGACTGCTTTCCCAGGCCACAGGCAGGGAGTTGGATGGGAAGTGGAACATCTGGGATATGAACCAGCACCCATATGGGATCCCAGCGCAAGAAAGATGAGGATTTAGCCACAAGGCTACTGTACTGGGCCTATTAATTAAATTTTTTAAAATAAAGATTTAATTATTTATTTGAAAGAATTAGAGAGGGGGAAGAGACAGAGATCTGCCACCCCCTGCTTCATTCCCACCATGACCACGATAGCCGGGGCTGGCCCAGGCCATAACCAGCAACCAGGAGCTTCTTCAGTCTCCCACGTGGGTGGCAGAGGCCCAAGTACTTGGGCTACCTATTATTGCTTTCCCCTAAGCCATTAGCAGGGAGGTGGATGGGAAGTGGATCAGCTAGTACACCAACTGGCACCCATGTGGGATGCTGGTAATGCAGTCAGTGGATGTATGCACTGTACCGCAATGCTGGCCCCAGATCTGGATTAATTCAACATACATTTATTAAAACCTACTACTTCCAAGATAAACATGGCAGCCACTGTAGAGGAGGCAATGCAAAACATGTCTTGGGCTGGTGTGGTAGCCTATGTGCTAAAGTCCTCACCCTGAATGTGCCAGGATCCCATATGGGTGCTGGTTCATGTCCCGGCTGCTCCTCTTTCCTTCCAGCTCCCCGCTTATGGCCTGGAAAAGCAGCAGAGGACAGCCCAAAGCCTTGGGACCCTGCACCCACGTGGGAGACCTGGAAGAAGTTCCTGGCTCCTGGTTTTGGATCAGCTCAGCTACAGCCTTTGCAGCCACATGGGAAGTGAATCAGCAGATGGTAGCTCTTCCTCTGTCTCTCCTCCTTTCTGTAAATCTACCTTTCCAATATAAATAAACAGATAAACAAACAAACAAATGAAGTTGTCTTTAGTTACTTCCACTGTGTAGCTTCTCTGCCTTTTGGCCAAGATCAGGTGTGGGTGCTTCCATTGTAGTCTTACAGAATCAAGTAAAAAGGACTTTGTAAATCTGTTGAAACTGCAGTTCAGCAGGCATATTTTATGTTGCAGTTCTCAAGTCTTAACACCATGTGGTGCAACATGCTAAATGGTAACTACAGGAGCAGCTGTTTTTTGTTTTTGTTTTTCTCAGATGCAAAAACAGTCTAATACATTCATAATTTGTTCCAGATTCACTTCATACTGTTTCAGCAGAAAAGCTACTCTGTGGAAAGTCTGCTGATCAGGCGCTCAGGGGAGCAGCTCTGGTGATCGGGAGTATCCAGAGAATTTACTCACTGGGATCCTTGGATTAGCCCAAACCTGTGCTGCTCTTCCTGTTGTTGCCATTGGGAGTAAAAAAGCTCAAAGGCAGAGTCATTTGTAACAGTCCTTAATGGCAATCAAACCAGCCTCCTTGCAGGGGGTATGGGAGTCCGGGTATCTTTCCAGGAGGAATGTTACCTTCTGAAAAGGCAAGAAAGGTGTGTATCTGCCTTGTTTCCTTCCAATGAGAGCCTAGCACAGGGCTGGTACGGAGAGATCAACGACTAAACCTGGATTACATGAGTAACCACCAAGGGAGGAAGTCACAGAATCTTTAGCACAATGTCAATATTCCTACAATGACTAGTTTATTCTATGTATCCAAACTATTTTTAATAGCAAAAGGCTGACTTTGTTAGTATTTCTCATTTTTTAAAATTTTTTTTGAAGATTTATTTTTATTATTTTTTTATTGGAAAGGTGGATATACATAGAGGAGAGACAGAGAGGAAGATCTTCCATCCGATGATTCACTCCCCAAGTGAGCGCAACGGCTTTGGGCTGTCCTCAACTGCTTTCTCGGGCCACAGGCAGGGAGCTGGATGGGAAGTCGAGCTGCCGGGATTAGAACCGGCACCCATATGGGATCCTGGCACCTTCAAGATGAGGACTTTAGCTGCTGGACCACAGCGCCAGGCCCTTTAAGCAATCTTAATAAGGCACAAAAGAATTAACAAAATTCCAGATCAAACATGGACTACTAATGAAACTACTAGCTGTATCTTGACAACAGGATGCTGGACTTTCTGCCATTGTCTATGCCTGCAATGATGAACATGAGACTGCTTATGAAGAGCTATGCTATAGTGCAGTAATAACATTTGGTAGCAATTTGGTAGCAGGGAGTTGATTTGGGGAGGGGGCTAGGGAAATCCCAGGGCCTATGGAACTGTATTATAGAATGATGATAATTTAAAAAGAAGTTAAAATAAATTTTTTTAAATGAAGAAAATTCAGTGGCATTAGGAAGACAATTCACAATATTAACAAGAAATTCAGCAAAGACAAAAATCATAAAAAGAAATAATCAGAAATTTCAGAGCTAAATTACTCATAAAAAATTTTAAAAATACACTGAAGAAATGCAATAGCAGAACTCAACAGGCAGAAGACAATTTTCGAGCTTGGAGGCAAATTTTTTTTGAAGATAGATGTTTTATATGTATATAAATACACACACATATATACTTTTATTACCCTTTAACTCCATAATATGTCAATCATGGGCTAGTTTTCAGAAAAATATGGAATTTTCATCAATTTGCATGTCATCCTCATGCAGGGACCATGCTAATCTTCTCTGTAGCATTCCAATTTTAGTATATGTGCTGCTGAAGCAAACATGAGGACATATCTTTTTAAATAACCCAGGGGTTGGTGCTGTCGCACAGTGTGTTAAGCCTCTGCTTGCAGTGCAGGCATCCCACGAGGAGGTAAGGTCAGAGACCCTGACGTGGGGAAGAATGTTCTGAAGGTGTTACTTGAATGGTTTTGATAGTTCTGACACATTGTTGGCATTGTTGCCTCAGTGCTGTGAACATCTTTCCAAGATGTATTGGCTGATCATGACTGCCTTAGTGCATCCAACCCCAGACACTGCTGCAAAGCTCACCCAGGAGAGTTGTCCAGCCTCTTCCGCTTTCCATCCTCTGACGTGGCACTTTGCCATCCTCTGCTGCCCTAGATGAGCTGGCTGTCATGTTTCCCATGCTGGGCATGCTATCCATTCTAAGACATCGACAACTGGGGAGGCCCAGTCCAAGCTTGGACCACACATCCTGTGATATTTCTTGTGACTGGGGTCTGAGTCCAGTGATCTAATTAGGGAGTCCCCCAAAACCTCACTTGGAGTGACCTCAGACATGTCTCTTGTGTGTGCCAGGTAATGCAGTGTCAGGTTTGGTCTGTCACCTGCACCAGCCAATGCACACACCACTGGGATGCAGCTGCTAGGTCAGTTCTGCCTCAGTTCCATATCTCACATGAACCTATGGGTGCTTGCTGCATCCCAGCCCAGTTAGCCTGCCACAGACCAAGTCCTCATGTGTACCAGTGGGTGCTGTGGCTTAGTCAGGGACAACACGTTCCCAGCCCTCTTCCCCAGGCACTCTGTAGCTCCCTGGCTCCTTGGTGATGTGTGGTGTGTCTGGGGGTTAGGGTGGTGTGTCCCCGCCTTGTGTCCTCTTGCTTTTTGTTGTGTGGTGCCACACAGTAGTGTGCAAAGTTTCTCACATATCACAAAACAAAACAAAACAAAACAAAACAAAACAAAACAGAATAGGCAGCTATGCTGGCACACTAGCATAGTTAACACAAATTTAGTATTAACCAGGCCAGAATGCCTACCTGCTTTTGGCTGCATTTCTTCCACCAGTGTAACATTTGCCTACATACAAGCAAAATTAGGCAACTGCCTATAGCTGGGGTGATCCTCATTCGATTAATAGCAAGCTTCTCAGCAGAAACCTTATAAATCAGAGGAGAACTGGAAAGAATATTCAAAGTTCTGTAAGAAAATATTTCTAGGCTAGAATATTACACCCAGCAAAGTGATCCTGTGGAGAAGAAGAACAAAGCATGACATCTAATGTCAAGTAAAAACTGATGGCTTTAATTGGATGGGATTATATTCTGCCAGCTTTGCTTTCAGACGAGAGATGGTCTCCCCAAGAAACTGTTGAGTTTATCTGGACAATGAGAGGCTGGACTCTATGCATGGTACACGCTTGCAATGAAAGAATCTTGACTGGATCTGAGCTGTAATACTGCAACAAGGTGGAGGAATCCATTATGGGGGAAGGGTCAGGGAGGGGTTGGGGCAATCCAGAGCTTATGAAACTGTGTCATAAAATGAAATGTAATTAATAATTAAAAAAAACCTGATGGCATGTATCAGACTGTTCCTAAAAGAAATTATTAAAGAAGCTTTATATTAGAAATGCAAGAATAACTACTGCCATAATGAAAGCACAAATTCCAACAAAAAGAGCAGATACTAAAACAATAAACAAAAACTGACTGATTCATATCTTTTCTGGATTTGATTTGCTACACTCACATATTTTGTTCATAGTTAATATATATGTATTAATTAAGATTATAATTCATATTTTTTTCCCTTTGCATTCAACTGGATTTTGAAATCTGGTTTATTTGATCTATTAAAATGAGTTGGAAAGCATTTGATAGTTCTCTATTTTCTGAATGAACTTGTTACTATACTATTGTTTCTTCCTCAAATGTTCAGTAAAATTCATCAGGGAGACTACTTAGGCCTTTAATCATTTCTGGGAGAAGATTTTAAAAGTAAGTTTAACACATATGGGGATGTTAAAAATGTTTTTCTGTTCACATCAGTTTTCTGAGTTTGTGTTTTTCAAGGAACATGTGTGCTTCACATCAGCAGTTGCCAAAATTATCGTCAAAAATTGCTTAACATTCTTAAAAATAGACAACTAAAAATAGTGCTACCCTCTGATGCAGCGATCCCACTGCTGGGTGTGTATATCCAGAGGGAATGAAGTCAGTATGTTGAAGAGCTGTTTGTTCTCCCATGTCTACTGCAGCACTATTCACAATAGTTGAGATGTGAGGTCAACCTATGTGTTCATCCACAGACAGATGGCTAAAGCAAGCATAGGGTATATATATACAATGGAATGCCCTTCAGCCATAAAAAGCTTAAAATCCTGTCATTTCTGACACCTGAATGAACCCTGGGAGGTACTAAGTTTGGTGAGATAAGCTGTGGATAGAAAGATAAGTACTGGATAATCTAATTCACACAGGGATAATTCGGATAGCTCATGGTAGGCTGGCTACAGTTAACAATGGTGTATAGTATACTGGGGCTCAGGTTGTGGTGATTGGGTTAAGCTGCTGCCTGAGATGCTGATTCTATCCTGGGTGCCTTGTTTCTGTTCTGTCTCCCAGCTAATATGCTTGGGAAAGCAGCAGAAGATAATACAAGTATTTGGGTCCCTGACACCTACGTGGGAGATCCAGATGAAGCTCCGAGCTCCTGGCTTCCGCTGTTGTACCATTTCAGAAGTGGATGAGCAGATGAAAGGTCTCTATCACTGCTTCTGTCTCCCCACCTCTGTAGCCCTGCCTTTCACATAGAGAAAACAGATCTTTAAAAACATCCTTTTTATAAAAAAAAAACAACTTATTTTTATTAGAAAAATATAGATCTTCCTTATTGGAAAGGCAGATTTATAGAAAGAAAGAGAGGCAGAAAGAAAGACCTTCCATTCATTAGTTCACTCCCTAAGCAGCTGCAATAACCAGAGTTGAGCTGATCCATAGCCAGCAGCCAGGAGCTTCTTGTGAGTCTCCCATGTGGGTACAGGGTCCCAAGGCTTTGGGTCATCCTCTGCTGCTTTCCCAGGCCACAGAGAGCAGGAAGGAAAGAGGAACAGCTGGGATATGAACCAACACCCTCTGGGATCCCAGTGCATGCAAGGTGAGGATTTAGCCACTAGGATATGGCTCCAGGTCCTAACAAGGTTCTTACCACAAACAAATGGAAAAGGTTGAGGTGATGGATCCATGTGAGTATAGGTTCCAAGGCCTTGGACCATCCAGTCATCAGCATTGGGGTGGATTGGAAGTGGTGCAGCTGGGACTAGAACCAGCACCCATAGGGATGCTGGCTGTTGCAGGTGGAGAACTTACTACACCACCACACTGGCCCCCAGATAAGCAATTAATATGGGCTACCAGTATGAATATTGTACTACTTCAAGAGAAATATGGAAAACTAAGTGAAAGCCCTTTCAGCATCTGAATTTAAAACACATCATGATCTGTACATGCATCGTGGGCATCAGGTTAAGCTGCTGCCTGTGCAGACCCAGCGCGGTAGCTTTGTGGCTAAAGTCCTCGCCTTGTACGTGCCGGGATCCCATATGGGCACTGGGTCTAATCCCAGTGGCCCCGCTTCCCATCCAGCTTCCTGCTTGTGGCCTGGGAAAGCAGTGGAAGATGGCCCAGAGCCTTGGGACCCTGCACCTGCGTGGTAGACCTAGAAGAAGCTCCAGGTTCCTTGCTGTGGTTCAGCCCAGCTTCGACAGTTGTGGCTGCTTGTGGAGTGAACCATTGCAAAGAAAATCTTCCTCCCTGTCTCTCCTCCTCTCTATATATCTGACTTTACAGCAAATAATTAAATAAATATTTAAAAAGAAAAAAAAAGCGATGCCTGTGATACAGGCATCCTATGCAAACACCAATTGGAGTTCCAGCTACTCCACTTGCAATCCAGTTCCCTGTGCGTTCACCTGAGACAGCAGCGAAAGATGGCCAGAGGATTTGGACCCCCTGCAATGCACCTTGGAGCACTAGAAGAAGCTCCGGGTTCCTGGTTTTGGTCTGACTTAGTCCTGGTTATTGTAACTATTTAGAAAGTGAACAAGTGGGGTCCGGCACGGTGGCCTAGCAGCTGGAGTCCTCGCCTTGCAAACGCTGGGATCCCATATGAGTGCCGGTTCTAATCCTGGCAGCTCCACTTCCCATCCAGCTCCCTGCTTGTGGCTTGGGAAAGCAGTCGAGGACGGCCCAAAGCCTTGGGACCCTGCACAAAAAAGGGAGACCTGAAAGAAGTTCCTGACTCCTGGCTTCTGATCGGCACAACATCAGTCATTGCAGTCACTTAGGGAGTGAATCATTGGACAGGAACCCTTTCTCTCTGACTCTCCTCCTCTGTATATCTCACTTTGCAATAAAAGTTAAATAAATACTTTAAAAATTCTTATATCTTTCAGTGGCTGAAAGAAGTCTCTGTGAAGTCTGGAGGTCCTGCTTTATTGCTCCTTGACCTCTCCTTGACCTCTTCTTGTAAACTCTCCCCCCAGGTCCTAATTTAGCCAGGGTATTGGATACAGATGAGTCCAATTAGTCTAGGTGCTTTCAGCTACAAGCCCAATTCCTGTTCCTGCCCATCCCAACCAGCACTAATCAATTCCTTAACCCACAACATTAGGTATCCAATCCTGCACACCTGTGACTCACCTATCACCTGCGAGGGGGCAGTATTGCGTTGTGTAACCACGCCCCTCACAAGCCTCTTTAAAAGGCCGGTGAAGTGTGGGTCTCACTGTCTTTCTGGTCAGGTGTTTCCGCTACTCTGGCGCCTCGACTCTTGGCTGACCCAGGACAGGTAAGCCCCTGCGCATGGTCCCTGTGTACTGCTTAATTGGACAATGGATACAGCATTGTTGTTTCTGGTTTGTGTGCTGTCAGCAGTTCCAGGAGAGGTGAGGCCTAGCAGTAGTGGAATGTGGGCAGAGAAGCCAGAGAAAGGTGAATGTCTGCAGCTTTGTGTGTCCAGGTTACTCATTGC